TCTCTCTCTCTCTCTGTGCCATACCTCTGCCGTGACACCTGGACAGTGGCACGCCGTCGGGGGAGGTACAACAAAGTACAACAAAATTTCTGTGCCATACCTCTGCCGTGACACCTGGACAGTGGCACGCCGTCGGGGGAGGTACAACGAAGTACAACAAAATTGATGATGTATCCACGACGAAGGTGAGGAGTTACAATGCTCCAGAGTGGGTTCCTGCAAACGTGAGAAGGCATGTTGGGCAGGAAATGTGTCAAGCTGGATCCCATCGTACCTTGCTTGATGCTATCAACTGTACGCTTCTAGTAGTAATCTGACCGGAAATGTGTGTAGGATGGATAAGAGAGATCACAAGGAATCTCAGCAAGGCAAATAGAGGAGAGATGCTGGGAGTTCTGTTTATGAGCGTGTTCCTTTTTTTTAAATACGAAAATCGAATCAGGGTTAGTACCGAAATTTAGTCGGCGTTTAAGCGAATTTCGGAGTTGTGCAGTAAAATTGATTCCGCAGTAATATTGATCATTATTGTACTGCTCGATTTTGGCCCGCGAACTTGAGGTTTCCTTGGGTGGAATTGATAATTCATGTCTGTGAAAAAGCGATTCGATTTCCGCGATATTGATAATTCAAACTCTTTAAGAAAACAATTCCAAGTGCTTCTCCGCTGACGTGGCTGCCGAGTTTGCTGCGTCACAGAAGTATAATTAGTCGACGGAATCTGAGCACGAGAGCTAAACGTGGCTGGTTTCGCTGACGTGGCTGGGTTTCGCTGACGTGGCTGCTGGTGACTCGCAAAACGGAAGAGATTGAAGCAAGGGTCCATGTACAGCGCCACCAGCCAGGATGAGAGTAAAGACTCTTTTGGTGTAACTCCATCAGTGTACGGAGGGTCAGGATTGCACCTGACCATCCTTCGGGTCCAATGCACGAAAACTCTGAGCGAGAATGTGCCCTGAGTTGTGTGGCTTGTGCGTTGGGAATAACGGAAAGTAGAGAGAAGGAAAGAACTCCAGCAATTTCGATAGCGAAAATTTGAAAGTTCTTTTGCTTCCGACTTGGGGGCGTCGCTCGCGCCTATCGCAACTGAAAGTGAAGGTCCCTCACTGGTAGCACTGTGTATATGAATCCTGTTGGACCTGTACCAGATCGCGCCTAGATGCATTACATCCCAGCAACGCCCGTACGACCTGATGCATTGGGAGAAGGAAGGCGCCTATTCTCCGCTTCTCAGCTGTCCCTTGCACTCCTTTTGTGTCTCTTCTCCGCTCTTCCAACCTGCCTCGTTCCTCTCCTTGTTACGTTCGCAATGAACTTGAACAAACGGTATGGTAGGTGAAATCGATAGTCCAGTTTTGTCGATAACTATTACGTTGCTCCTGTACAAGCCGTCGACGTCAAGGTTATCACTTGTTTGTTAAAGCAAAGAACACCCCCCTTCTATGCTCATGTGCTGATGTCAATTCCGCCCTGAGCAGTCTCTTGCTGACCAATTAGCGAACCGCCGTTCGAACGGGGGACGTCCCTATGGATTGCGGAGTTTGCGTTAGAACCGCCGTACGAGTTTGATCAATCAGCTGCTGGGTACCTCTTCTTTTCTTCGTTTTTCGATAAGTTCTTTTTGTTTGTGTGTGTTTGTGTGTGTGTGTTTGTGTGTGTTTGTGTGTGTGTTTGTGTGTGTGTGTGTGTGTGTGTGTGTGTGTGTGTGTGTGTGTGTGTGTGTGTGTGTGTGTGTGATCTGTGGGCAGGGGCCATGCTACTCTTCCCTGCATTGTTCCAATTCTAGCGCATGTTCCCAAGGACCGGTGAGCGCTGAGTTTTCAGCTGGAATTCGTTTTCTGTGGATTTTCATTTGTTTTCTTTCCACTTCAGCGGCTTGTCATTAGTTTCAAATGTTTTCTTTGGGTGTAAAACGAAAAGTGGCCAAGCCGCTGAATGCGAGCGGAAAACGCTGAGATTTAGTCGAAGGAGTCTGAGAAAGGGGGATGAACGTGTCGGGGTCGCTGACATGGCTGCGGGCAGCTCGCAGAACGGACGAGACTGAGGAAAGTCTCCATGACAGCTCGCTCAACCAGCCAGCTCACTCTAATCTTGAGTGTGGGTCGTTATGAAGCGCTCTTGCTGTCCGGTTAAGGGCCTCTGCGACGCCTGCTGTGATCGCTGGCTTTGTCTTGTCTGCTCCTTCTCCTTCGCTCGTGTGCGATTCCCCTTACTGGGCTGTTTGCTGCTGGCAGTGGCAGTCACTGTCGTGTGTGTCCGTCGTCCGATCCTCGTATCATCAACAGGAGATGGACCACTTAGAAGGAGGATTTCCTCCAATTCGGGCAGCCAGGGGAGTGCTCGCCTTCTTCAGCAGGAGTCGACAAGCGCCGACGCTTCAACCGTCCCGCCGCCCGCTTGGATGGACTCGAACGGAGAACCACTGCTAGTGCAAGGAGAACTACCGAGAGTTGAGCCGCCGTCGTTAGTGAACGGTTCCATCGAGGTCGTAGTGTCCCATCCCTTGCCGGACAATTCCACTACGCCGCAAGAATGCCGGTCGGAAATCAGGAACCTGGTCGTGGTTTCGTCAGGCAATGAACAACAACTGTACTATATCCTGCAGCAGTACTGCTCGAAAGATGGTAATGACACCTATTATTCGATGTCTATCAGGAATGCGAACCTGTCGCAGCACTTGGAGGAAGGCGACGGTTCGAGCCGGCAGGATGACGAAAGCGCATTGGTAACGCATATGTGGCCGTACGACCAGCCGAACGGGTCAAGAATCCCAAGCGGGATGGATTTCGGCGGGAAAAGTATCGCTCACGTGACAGGGATGGGTCTGTCCAAAGATAAGGCTCATCTCCTCTTAAGCGTAACGAGTGGAAACACCTATAGGCTGCGACGGACGTATGTCGAAAGTAGCTCCATGTTCACTTCTTTGTCTCTAACTGATGGCTCTCGATCGTCCGTCCCGTGTAGTTTTTCCGTCGGGTCGTGGGCGTTGGACTCCAAGATGGGATATCTTTACTATTCCTCACAAGAGGTTCCACTAACGCTTACCGAAGTTGATGATTCGGGACTTCAAATGGGTCAGGGGATATCATAGATTCAAATTGGGGGCCGGTCATCGGCGCGGAGTTCCAATCTCAAAGCCTTGTTTCGGATGGCAGTTGCCTTTACTGTCTGCAGACTGATGGTCGAGTGCTAGGGCTAAATTTCGAAAAGACGCCACCACTTTAGTAGCCAGCCTGGATATCTTTTTCAACGAGGGGTATGACGTGGTCTCAACGCCAGACGGATGCCACGTGTTTACATCCATGGGATATTCAGTTGCTGTCCATACCATTGTCCCCCTGCAATAGGGCGAGCAGAGAGGTGGGAAGCATATATCATCCCGAATCTGTAGGGTTGGCTCTTCACGATGACGGTGAGCGGTTGATCCTGTTCATGGGAACCAGCGATGGCAAATTGTTTCGGGTACCGCTGAGCAGGTCGGAGCTGGGAGGTTGTGAACCCCCGAATAACATCTAACTGCTGGCCATCCTGGCTGCAACCGGGGCTGGGGTGTTTGTGGCAGTCGTTGTCGGCATACTTYGGGCTTGGCGTCGCAGAAACCGTCGTCGTCAAGCTCGCCAGCAGCATTCCATCCTTGCCGGACCGTCGGGGGCTTCGTCTTCACAGGACTTCAGTGCATGGCCCGCTTGGGGACTCAGGCCCTCACGCGTCAACCGGTTCGATTTGAAGACCCTGTCGGACTGCACGGACAATTTCAGTGAGACCCGTCGAATCGGGGAGAGAGGGGCCTTCGGGAAAGTCTACAGGGGTTCGCTTGACGGCAAGGAGGCGGCAATCAAGGTGATGACCGGTGAGCTCACGGACACCAAACGCAACCAGTTCGTGGCGGAGGTGAACACCCTCAGCGCAGTTAATCACGTCAACCTCATCCAGCTAATGGGGTACTGCCAGGAGGTCAATMAGTGYATCYTGGTGTACCCTTTTTTCCGAGGCGGCTGCTTATACGAGCGGCTGTTCCCTAACAGGCATAATAGAAGGGGCTTGGAGGAGGCGGATTCTCTTCCGCCCCTCACTCTCCAAGAKCGCATGAGCATCACCTTTCAGGTCGCCAAAGGGCTCTGGTATCTCCATGATGACGCCAAGCCTCCCATCATCCACCGTGACATCAAGAGCCACAACGTCCTTCTTGGCGATGGCTGTGGGGAGACACTCCACGTAGTCCTTGCTGATTTCGGATTGGCGTCCATAGGGGAAAGAGTGTTAGACACTGGGCACGACCATGTGGTGCTCACATCTCACATCGGTGGCACTTTTGGGTACATGTCCCCAGAGTACATGTTGAGAGGCGAGCTGTCTGAGAAGAATGATGTGTACTCCTTTGGGGTTCTTGTGCTGGAGCTGCTGACTGGCAGAAAGGTGGTCACACCGGCCCCTTCTGGGCTAGGATGGCAGACCCTCGTCGAGTGGGTGAAGCCTTTCTTGCGGGATGGAGGAGAAACTGGCCACGATCCCAGCTTGGACATGCCAAATGTGATTCTTGACCGCTGTTTGTGGGATCAGGTGGCCGAAGACTCGACAAAGCAGATGGTGATGACCACTTTCAGGTTGGCTTGGGAATGCGTCCATGAAGAGTACGGGTCGAGGCCCGCAATGCGGGCTGTTGTGCAGCGCATTCACAGCATGTTTCTCTATGAAGGTTGGGATTTCTTGACCAGGACCATGGACATGGAGAACCTTCTGGCCATGCCACAGGCAGAGGATGGCATGCAGGGGGAGGACGAGGATGAGACCCAACAGCATTCTGACGTGTTTCTACACGGCGGGGGCATAAAAGATGGCACCTTAGTAGATCCAAGGTGAGTAGAATGTAGGCGCTTGGAAATGCACTTTTTTTTTGTTTATATATATATATATATATATATATATATATATATATATATATATATATATATATATATATCGTCAAATAGAACTGCCCGGTAAACCGTGGGGAGAGAGGGAGAAGAGGACAACAAACGAGGGGCTGTATATATATATATATATATATATATATGTCTATACCCCTCGTTTGTTCCATATATATATATATTATTATAGATTCTATTTATTGTATAATTTTAAAATATATATAAATATGTATATAAATATAACTTTTAGGTTTAAAATCTTTTCATTCTTTATCATTTTTTTCTTGAAATTGGAGACTACCTATATATATATATATAGATGAGTCGGTGAAACTCCGACGAAACAGTTTGTCACAGCCCCTCGTTTGTTGTCCTCTTCTCCCTCTCTGCCTACGGTTTACCGGGCAGTTCTGATTGACGATATATAAAGAAACACCCCTACCTGTGATGATAGTGGTGCTGTTATGAGCAGACACCACTAGCACCTGGGGGCTGGCTCCATGTATTGGTGGGGAGCATCACCTGCTGGAAAGCGGGCCCAGCGTCCCTTACATGAAATAAATTTGAACCATAACAGATAACGAGTAACAATTGTGAAAGGTTCCTGCCAGCATTGATTGCCCTGGGATCCAGGGGATTGACTGAGCAGGTTAGAGGGGGAAATCTCTTCACCTTGGAAATGCGCTCTTTCTTTCTCTCTTATCTTTTCAAAGGGGTAATTATAGCCACAAACATGATTGTATCGCTAGCCTCCGATTTTTTATTTTTTTTATTTTTTTTTTAACAGCCCAAGCCAGTGATAGGGGTGCTGATAGGAGCAGACACCACTATCACTGTAGGGGAGGCTCCATCTATTGGTGGGGATCAGCACCTGCTGGAAAGCGGGTCCAGCGTCCCTGAACATCATACTTGCTTATTTGAATAGACATCCGATTGTAGCTACTGCCAGCCGCATGAGCCACTCTAAAAGTAAGAAATTTAAGAAATTTGGCAGGTGGAACCCCACAACTACTCAGGAACCTAAGCGGGTTGTCTACCTAACAAGATTAGATAGGTGGGGGCCTGATTCTCATTCTACATATTGTGGAGTTCCAAATCCCCTTGGGTCTGCAAGTGGTTCCCAACCCTTATTGGAGCTCCGTCATGATCTCTTCATACGCTTATGAACACTAACTTGTGTGAACACTAACTTGTGTGGGCCTCCTGAACAGTTGGTTACTTGAGTGTGCTTTGAGGTATGTATCTGGCCAGTATGTGTGGAAGGAGATTGCTGTTGTTTTTGTTTCTTCTTTTCTTCTGTTTTTGTTTCTTTTTTTCTACAGTTAGTTTTCATTTGGTGCCCTGCCAGCCAGGCAGGGAGATTCCACGCGGGGCAACAAATTGCCTGACTCACCTCATACTTACACTAGTGATTTTTTTTAAACAAACAAATGCTCCATTCTATTTGTGGGGAGCAGCACATGCTGGGACGCGGGCCCAGCGTCCCTTGTACAACAAACTGAGGTTTGGGGCCGGGGTCCCCACAGTCTACCCGGAAAACGAGTCCCTGAGTACCGGGAGCTTATCCGGCTTCACTTCTGAAAAAGAAGTTAAACTGTTGAAAAGCGGGTCCAGCGTCCCAATGTACCTGTGCTTTTTGTTTCTTCTTTTCTTCTGTTTTCGTTTCTTTTTTCTACAGGTAGTTTTCTTTTGTCGTTTCTTTTTTTCTACAGTTAGTTTTGTTTTCGTGCCCTGCCAGCGAGGCTGTGCGATTCCACGTGGGGCAACAAATTGCCTGACTCACCTCATACCTACACTAGTGCTGTAGCGTCCTGGACCGGGATCAGAGCATAAGGGATGATTTTTATTTTTTTGTTCTTCTGGCGTTCTTCATGGGGTGCTGAATTTAGCAAGATGAGAGGTAGAGAGGGCTGTTTCATTGGGAGGGGGTGGCGCAGGAGGAAAGGGGGAACTCCAGCTCTCGCCAGTGAGGCAGGGCGATTCCACGTGGGGCAAGAGAGACGGTTAACCAACCCCACATTTTTCACCTTAATTCATAAGAAAACCATAAGGCCATTTCAAGCAAATTCCACACCAATGTATAGAGTGCACTTCTTACTAACATATTATTAAAAACAAAACAAAACAAAAAAAAAAAAAAACACATAAAACAGCACCTCAAAAGTGCATTTTCAGGGAATTTTGCCAAAAAAAAATTCATTGAAATTTCAGGATTTTCAGGATGCTGGGGCGAGTTGTGTTGCCCTGTAACTCAGCAGAAGTGGGGGCGTGAGGCCTGGAAGAGCTCGGCAGGGAGTAAGGCAGTTTTGAGGGATTCTGGAAGGGTGGGTTAGGGAGTCCGAGGTTTTTTAAATCTTTTTGGATCCCGGCGGTTACTTTTCAATCCTTATCCTTTTCGTGTTATATCCAACTCTTTGGTTTTCTGGTTGTGTGGTAGCTTCTAGTCTTCTAATGTATCTGGGATAGAGAAGTTCAGAGAGGGTTGAGCCTGGACTGATATCCGCAGAGTTGCTCAGTTCTGTGCCTCTGGTTTGCCGATGCCAGAACGACGCTGACCGGAGCTGGGGYGCTGCCCTGTGACCTGCAATCTGCAGGAGTGTGAGGTCTTGTAGAGAGATCTGGGTCTTGCCGAGGGAGGAAGGCAACTCAGTGGTAAATCGGGGGAGGCTGCTAGGTGGCGAGAAGAGAGGGGCTATGGGTGATGTTGGTTTGGGTAGGATTGTCTCTGAGGTTTAAAATCCTGGTTCATGGAAGGCTAGGAGTTTAAGCTAGGTCAGGAAGCCAAAATAGCTGATATAGCCTAGTTTACTACATAAGCATAAGGTCACTAGTATCAACATCATAATCATCTTCATTTTCATTAAAAAAAAAAAAAAAAAAAAAAAAAAAGGATTTTCAGGATGATCAACAGCACAAATTTAAATAACCCAAATGACACCAAATTTGACACACAGCAAGCTTGTCCAAAAACAAAAACAGGTAAAAAAAAAAATCCAAAAAAACACAAAATTTGACCCCGAAACCCTAATTTCAGGATCATTCGTGGTTACCCAGGGGTGAAAAGTGGGGGTCCCCGTTAACCGCTTGTGGAAGGTTGCGGTGCCCTGTTACCCTAGCATGGAAGGGGGTATGAGATCAAGTGTGTTCCGGTACGAGGACTGAAAGCCTGGACAGACATTTCGTCTATTGAGGGGGGAATTTTGGATAGAAGGTTGTTTTAGTTTTGACCCCCTGCTTATATAGTTCTCCAAGCCTTTCCAGATTCAAACAGACAAAATGACTTAGTAACTGTGGCTTGAGTTCTTATATTGCTCTTAGCTGAAGTTCTCAGATTGTCTTAAAGTTCTTCTGCACTCTTTTTGTGGTTCTCAGATTGCTCTTTGCTGGAAGTTTTAGATGGTTCTTAGCCGAAGCCAGGTAATGGCCCTGGTATTCTCAGATTGTTCTTAGCGGATGCCAGGTAATGGCCCTGGTATTCACAATTTCTTGTATCATTTTATATGGGACGCTGGGCCCGGTTCCCAGCACGTGTTACTCCCCACGAATAGGTAGGAGCTTTTGTCCCAAAAAAAAAAAAAAAAAAAGCCGTAGGGATGTTTCTTTTTTTTTATATTATTTTTATTAAAAGGCTAATTCTTTAAGCACAACCAATTTAATTGACTGTTAAATCTGGCAGGACGGCCTTTCAGGCCTTATAGTATTACGGGGAACCCCGTAGCAGCCGTGCTCAAGTCTCCAACGAGGGAACATGTGGGAGCTGCACCCACCAGCAGGTGCGATACCTGCTACAGCAGGTGGGTGATGCCAGCCAGGGGTCAGCCGGTAGAATCAGGACCGAGCTTCTTAGATGGGCCGGTCACTGTGCCTCCCCTCCGGTCCCCTCCCCCTATGAACATCAGCAGTCTTTGCTCAATGCCACTCGGGGGCACCACCCCTTCGTTTTATTATTGTTTTTTTTTTTTTTTTGAGAAACCACTCGATGCTTGGGGTGCCACCACTAGCACTTCCGGGGGCGCTCCATCTATTGGTGGGGAGCATCACCTGCTGGAAAACGGGTCGGGCCATGGTTATGTGTATGTTTGATCCCCTCTGTACAGACTGGGCTATGGTAAACCCTGAGTTCTATCCATGTATCTTACAGCCTTGAGCCGGCATGCTGTGTAAGTGTAAGTTTGCATGCAGTGAACTGTTTCTACTGACCATTGTGTATATTACAGCTTTGTGCAGGCATGCTGTCTGTCATTGCAAACGTGTGAAGGTGTAAGTATATGAACTGTGATTTCCCTGTGAAGGGTCATGTCCGTTAGGTCTCTGTTCTCTATTATGCATATTACGACATTGGACAGGCATGCTGTGTGCATTTGTGTGCAATGAGTTGTGCGTGTCTTTGCATGATGGAGTTGGCGTGAGTTGTGAGTTGCAGTGAATATGAGCACTGTGTGTATCTGCGTTTCAGTGTAAGCATGTAACTTTTGAAATTTCATGTAATGGGTCGTGTCTGTATTCCTCTGGGGGATGTGCCATTGAAGAATAAGCAAGGAAGATGAAGAGACCTATCCTTCATTTCTCCCACTGTGTTTCCTGAGATCCCTGCTAGGTCATTAAGTTGCCCCCACGTGCCTGTCTTTTGTGGTAGAGGAAATTTAAAGTGATGGATGTGCGATTGAATAATCCAACCACAGTTTCCCCGTGTATTGTCTTGTGCGTGATGCCCTCTAACCCTTTGAACCCCCAAACCCTGAAATCTGAACCCTTAATCCTCTAAGTCCTTAACCCTCTCTACCCTTTGCCGGTCACTTGATTGGGTGATCTTGTTTGTCCCGGTCCCTGTCGTGATGGGGGCCCCGCCTTTGTCATATGTCCTGCTGATCCCATCGTGGTGGAGAGGAGCACCCTGGCCGACTTGTGGGGGAAGGGGGTTGCAAGAGGAAGAGGAAGAGGTAGGTGTGTAGGGTGGTGTTCAGTGTTAAAGGGGGGTA